GCCGTACGCACAGAACATAAAAACCCAGTTACTATTTATTTATTTATTTATTTTATTCGGTTTGTCGATCGCCTACAAGCTAATAGGTATAAGTAAAAACATAGTTATGAATACATGGACACACATAAGAAAAATAAGGGAAACAATAGGACAGGGACGGTAGGCACGTTGGTGCGCTTATGCACGCCCCCTTACAGACCTCTTAGGAAAGGGGTGAGGTCAATAGTAGACAGTCTGAGGTTAAAAGTTTTTGGGGTTTGGGGATGAGACCACAGAGTCAGGTAGAGTATTCCAGACATTGACCACTCTGTGGCTGAAGTCGAGTTTGGAGTGGTTTACTTTGAGTTTGTATCTATTGTGCGCTCTTGTATTGTTGTAGTTGAAGCTGAAGTATTCGTTGACGGGTAGGACATTGCAAGGTATGATTTTTTATGTACCATACTTAGATCGAACCGAAGGCGGCGTAGTTCTAGGTTTTGTAGGTCTAGAATTTCAAGTCTGGTGGCATAAGGTATTCTGCAACGAGTCGAGGAGTGGAGAACTCTTCTTGTGAAATATTCCTGGACTTTTCTACTAGGAGCTAGTAACTGACCCCTAAAATTCATGTGCGCGGAAAGCCAAACGGAAGGGTCCCTTTTGGCAAAACAAACAAACAAACAAACCAAAAACCCATGGCCCACCTCTGCATTTTTGGAGGGCCTCTTCATTTCTCACCCGGAGAGAGGATGCTCAGCTGCATCCCTTCCGCAGTCAGTTTCCATGGCAACCTCCACTTCAATGGAGCATTGTCAGGTTTTGAAGGAACAGAGGAGGGGACTTCAAAAAAAAAAAAAAAAAAAAAAACGAGGGAAGAGGCGAACGTGGCCTTTCCTCCCCCAGTGGCCTCATGGTGGGAGCTGCCCACTTTTCGTGGACTGCGTCCACGTTTCAACTTCACACCGCAGCTTTTCCTAACGTACACGCACAGCCACCTCCGATGGAAGTAACTTCCTATTTAAGTTCTCACGGAAAGACCCCTCTGTTTTAAGGCGCGTTTCTCTGAGGTTGTCCTCCGTTGTGCTCGTTTACCAACGCGACTTTTAAAATATAGATGCATCCTACGGTTCTCGGTTTTCCCAAGGGCGCGTTGTTTATTTATTTTTCTTTTGAAGGCTTCTCCCGCCAAGCGATTCTCAAGGCAGATTTCTGACTTGGAAAAAGAGGGCGGCTCTAAATGTACCTCGATATTGCTTTTGCCTGAATCGCCGTAAAACTTAATTGGGCCAAACCTGATTACAGGGAGTCTCTGACTTACGATCGTCATTGGGAGTAAAATTTTCGCTCCTAAGCAAGGCGATCGTTCAGTGAATTGGGCCCGGTTTTATGACCTTTTTTTTTGCCATGGTTATTAAGCAAATCACAACAATTGTTGGGTGAAACACCCTGTTGTTAAGCAAAACCAGCTTCCCCCATTGACTTGCTGGTTAGAAGCCAGTTAGGAAGGGCGCAGTGCTGTAACCCTTGTAAATATACGCCGATTGCCAAGCGTTCAAATTTTGATCACATGGCTGTGGCGATTGCTGTGACGGTCGTAAGCGTGAGGACTGTCATAGCTCACTTTTTTCAGGGCCACTGTAACTTTGGTTGTTAAATCATCATCATCATCATCATCTGCATTTAACGACTCCATAATCCCTTGTGGGGTGGAGTATGGACAACTGAATGGAGCTAGCAGAGTGTTTACTGGCCGGATGACCTTCCCTGTCACCAGTGTGGAGTTATATTCGGCAGAATATAACTCTCATTGTGTCCAGAGAGAGAAAAATTTGCCTCTACCTAGGATCGAACTCACAGCCTCCTGGTTATGAGGTGAGAGCTCTAGGCCACCATACCGCTCAACTTTGGTTGCTAAACGGATGGTTCTAAGGGCCGGACAGTTCTACTGGAAACCCATGGAAGGTTCCTTTGAGAGCCCTAGTTTCAATGTACAAACTCCTATTGCAACAACAAGATCAAAGGCAACGAATTAGGACACTACCTTATTTAACCAAGATAAAAAAGAATTCAGAAGCAACTTCACTTAAACTAAGACTCAGGTGTGTGGAAGGTGAAATTGTTCTGCTTTGTCTGGAACTTCAGGCTGTGACTACCGTATTAGGAAGCAGCAGGTAAGTTCAAACGCCTTTAGCCAGCGGCTTCTAGAAGTTGTGTCAATGCTTTTTTCTTGGAGTGTGCAAGACCTCAATAAAGAAAGGTTAGCCGCCGTAAAAATGGATTAAAGTTGCTGGATAATAAACAAGAGTGTCCATCTCTTCCCACGTGGCCAGTGCCCTCTTTGAGCCTGGAAAGGTCTAACCAGAACAAGCCAGTTTCTGAGGTTACAGTCAGAGGGCAACACCGGGAAGTTAAATTAGGTATGTCTCTAAAACCAGACTTAACAATATTGGGATCAGCTGCCACGCTGGATGAGAAAATTATTGAATAAATCCCTCAACTGCACAGGTAGACTTATCAATATTGCTCGCTGCGTTATTTGCCAACCAGAATTCTTTGCCAAGCCCAGCCGGGTCTATCAGGAGACGAAAACAAAACCTTGAACTATCATCCAGAGATTCTCAGCTATTAAGAAGTGTGAGATTAAAATAATAATAATAATAATAATAATAATAATAATAATAATAATAATAATAATAATAATAAT